CACACACACACACACACACACACACACACACACACACAGTAGCAAAGGCCAGTTGCAAGGTGGCGATATAATCAGAGCCCAGGTACTCAAGTTCCTGGTTTCAGTTCTTTGTTGGGCAGCATAAAAGAAGTGAAACTTGGCTGCGGTGAAAAAACACATATCTACTAATTGCACCTAGAATAATAACGCCCTTGGATTAAAAAAAAAAGAAGTGGGAGTTGTGGATATTCTTGTCTTTTCTCTAAAATTCCAACGAAATATTTGATAAAAGAACATTAAATAGAACAAAACAAAATMATTCAAAACCTTTTCATTTCAGCCTGCATTGTGTCGAAACATGTCCCCAAACAAAAGCCACCTATTACAGTAATTAGTCCAAAGAACATGTTGTACAAGATGCCTCACTCTGTTCCCACACCTCACCTGTGCTTGTTTTGTGCTCTGGCAGGCGGTGCGTCTGGAGAGCGCCTACCCTCAGGTAACCCGCTACATGGTGGTGGTCTCCACCAATGGCAGGCAGGACACGGAGGAGAGCCTTGTGCTCGGCATGGACTTTGTCTCCTCTGACAGGTCCGTCCCTCAGCAGCAGCACACAGCAGTTTTGTAGACATATCCCAGCAGAGATAACAGTGATTGCTGTGTGGTTATTTCCTGTAATGTTAAAGTGAGAAGTGTCCCGGGACAAAGGTGTTTGTAGTTGAGTCACCAAGGCTTTTGTGGTGAAAGTTTTTCAAACAAAGAGTGAAATCAAGTCGATTGTCAGACTGRTTTCTTTTGTTGATTGCCTTCTGTCAAACGATTTATTGTTCGATCAATGTTTTCATGCAGCTGCTGTACTGTGGGGCTGGTTCTACCTCTGTGGAGCGACACACTGATCCACTTGGATGGAGACGGGTAAGACCCCACCCCTCTATCATGCTTCCTCWTCCTGCTCCCTGGGGCACCTAACTGACTGATCTCAGGTCTTTTAAATGAAGYTGCATTGTTTACAAAAAAAAAAGTCTCATTTCTGATTCGTCGCTCTACTTCTGCAGAGGCTTCAGTGTATCGACGGTAAACAGGGTTCACGTCTTCAAGCCTGTCTCGGTCCAGGCCATGTGGTGAGCAACCTCTTCCAGATTTTCATTCATCACTCTGCATCTGTTTTACTTTAAACTCCTGTTTTACATCACTTATTCATATCTTTGCTTTTGCTGTTTTACCTTTTTTTTTCTCCTCACTCCCTCTCCCACATGCCAGTCCTGCCTCTTCATTTCCTCGTTTTGTTCTCCTTTTCTTACTTCGACATCCTTTGACTCATCCCCACTTCTTCTGCTGTATCATCTCCCCACATAGCTGTTGTGTCTGCTCTCTTCTCACACCTGAGGTCGGTGAGACTCGTAAACAGAACTTGTTTCTTTGTGAYYGCCAGGTCGGCCTTGCAGTCGCTGCACAAAGCCTGCGAGGTGGCTCGCTGCCATAACTACTACCCAGGCAGCCTGTTCCTGACCTGGGTCAGCTACTACCAGAGCAGGGTGTCGTCCAGTCAGTTCTGTGTCAACGAATGGAACGCCATGCAGGATGTGGAGTCCCACCGTGCCAACTCGCCCATCCTTTTCACCGACCTGTGAGTAAACATTTACTTATGTTGGGTTTTACCCTAAACCGAACTGTAAGCAAAAATTAGCATTTTTCCCTTATGTGGACCAGGTAAAATGTCCTCACAAGGGTGATCTAATGTCAAAATATGTTCACACAAAAATAGCTAGGTGTGCACACACACACTTGGATAATAAAGGGGTCTGMTGTGAGCTTTATGTTCAGATCCATAGTGTGTAAAATGTGAGTTTTGTTGAATTATTGCTCGCAGATTGTGAGCAAACGTATACAGGCAATCTGTAGCTATATGTTTCTGTGAGCAGCAGAGTGATCTCTGCACCTGACATGTCTAAATGCTCTTCAGGTCAAACAGAGCACATGTGTGGATCACAGATTCAGAGAAAGCTCCAGGAGATTTACAGCAGCGGCATGTASGCACGGTCAGAAATAATGTCTCGTCTTCACAGCAGCGTGGCCTAACCCCTGCTCACGCGCTGACGGTGTGGGTGTCTGTTGCGAGGAAATATTGTTGCCCAATCGTCTGGGAGCAGGATCAGGTGTTGTCTCGATCAGACAGGAGCAAAGTATGAAGAAATGTTTTGATTTGCACAGATTTGTGACGCGTCACTGATTTGTCCTCAGATATCTAAGAAAAAGAGAGAGAGAGAAAGAAGGTGAAGGAATGACGAGGCGCTCGTGGATTTATGTCTTAACTAATGGCCGGGAAATTCCCCTCCGAGCTGCTCGAGTCACATGCTCGGCTACCTATTTGGAGCATCTCTCTCGAACACACACACACACACGCACGCACTTATGAAGTGTCCAAAATAGCCGAGGCTTTAGCTGGCTTTATTTAGTTTTGGAAAAAATGAAACGCAGACGAACTCACAGGAAGGTAGACGAAGACGGACAGAAGCAGGTGGCAGGTTCGCACTCTCACACACCTGATTGGAAAGAATGGAGACAAGTCGAGTCAGAAAACAATTCCTTTAAACTTGACAAATAAGAAACCTGTATTTACCACCTGCCGATGTGTTAAGGTGTGTTTGCCCTTAAGATTACRTAAAACTACAAGAGTTCCCGTTCGTTGAGTTCATTTGTTTTCCCGTACGGAGCGGCTGCCAAGGCTCCGGRACCTGCTAGGCTTTTGTTGACACATCACAACTTATTTCCCTGTAAAAGTCTTCAGGCTTGTTTCTGGTGTTTGCTRTGTGGGTTTTTACTGTCAATACCTGCAGGGCCCTCATCTCCCAGCAGTTCCAGGAAGTGGCAGAAACTTTCCATCCTTTGTGTACTCATTAGCTCCGCTTTGTGTCATCTCGTACGTTTTTGTTTTTCAGTTTTAGTTTTGGTCCCTGGTCTGTTTCCTTGCCTGGCCATCAGATTCAGACCACCTGCAGGCAGGCGGGGGCATGTTGTTAATTTAAAATATCACTCCATGTTAGTAAATCAAACTGCATTTGTTGATAAGGGTGGAAAGTTTTCCTTATGTCATTAAAGTGTTCAGATAAGCACACATTCTATCACAAGCAAAGTTTGCAGAAAAGCGTCTGAGATCATCACACTTTCCTTTTTGGACTTTTGACCCACACCGCTGTGAAATATTAAACTGCTGAATAAGTAGATAAACAAGCTGACGAACAGGAGCGAGAACAAAAGGAGAAGCCGAACTGAGTTCCTCTCCAGAGAGATAATTAAGCCACTTGTTGGTATCATCAGCTTGACATCCAAAGGCTAAATGCGTCTCCCGGCAGAGCAGTTGCAAACAGAGCCAGGCATAACAACAGGCGTTTTCTACAAGAGGACTTTGTTTTGGACTGCCAGCAGCTCGTGTTCTCAGATTTTCTGTCCCYTCTCCAGTTTCTGAGAAGCACACAAAGTGCCAGTTCTCTTGTGGAACAACTCGTCTCATTGAAATTATGAAAAGGAATGAGCGTGTGGAACGCAGAGGTCTAAATAGTGGCTGTGAAGGTGGCTCTTTGTGTTCCGACTTTTACAGAAAATGTATCTTACATGAAGCTGTGGTACTGTGTGTGTGTGTGCAGGCCCACAGAGAGGGAGCGCACAGAACGGCTCATCAAGACCCGTCTCAGGGAAATCATGATGCAGAAAGACCTGGAGAACGTCACCAGCAAGGAGGTGAGGACCAATGATCCGCTTTCACTCTCCCTGTTAAACAAATACAGGAAAATGAATAAATTGCCAACATATTCTGAATATTTGTTTACTTTATTCAGATCCGAACCGAGCTTGAGATGCAGATGGCGTGTAACCTGAGGGAGTTCAAAGAGTTCATCGATAACGAGATGATTGTCATCCTGGGACAGATGGACAGTCCCACAGAAATCTTTGACCATGTCTTTTTGGTAAGAATTCAGGAGCTCAAAGTTGAAGAGAACTCATTTGTTGTGACATTGAACATTGACTGATAAATATTTACGTCAACTATTAAAACCAAACTGTAAAAATACTATTTAAAAATATGTTATCACTGATATATAAATGTATTTATAAAGCCCATAAAAGTCCAATGATTGTGTACCAGACTACAGTCTGGTGCTGTTTGTACTACACACAGAATTCCTCATTAATATTTTTACCATGTGTATATATTTGCACACATCATGACTGACTGGGTTTGTGTGTTTCCACAGGGCTCTGAGTGGAACGCCTCCAACCTAGAGGAGCTGCAGAACAGCGGGTAAGAGATCAGTACTTCCACTGCTTTTAATTAATGCAGCCTACGAACTATAATTAGTCAAAAGGGCACACTGTCAATCGCTCATTTTTCAGAATTAAAGCGGGCACATCTTGTGGATTACAGAAGCAAATTCATCATCATAATTATATCTTTAAGAATGTAAACTCCACAGATTAATTCTCTGGAGTGTTTTCATTCAAAGCTGCCTCAGCGCCGGTCACATTCAGAGCAGGGATGTGCCTTTTTTAATTTGCCCAGTTTTCATTTCTCTTTGAATGTTTGAAACTCCCAAACTCGAATCCTGACGAAAGCATCTTTTTTTTTAATGTTTGAGCTGGTTTTGTACTGAAGCCCCGCCCCTTGAAACAAAGAAAAACACATTTATAGAATATACATGGTTTTTTCATAATAAATTTAATGAAGTAACACTTCCTCTTCGTGTCTCTGATGTAGAGTGCGCTACATCCTGAACGTGACCAGAGAAATAGACAACTTTTTCCCGGGAATGTTTGAGTACCACAACATCCGAGTTTACGACGAGGAGGCCACCAACCTGCTGGAGTACTGGAACGATACTTACAAGTTCATCACCAAAGCCAAGTAAGTGTCCTCACACTCCCAACACGTTCCACGTCTCATTGCTAAAGCTGACAAACAATAACTGAGCTCTACGTGGTATTTTGTGCATAGAAACAGCGTTTTATCACAGAAAAGTACTACGTGTACGACTGACTGAATGTTATATAAATATACAGAAGTACTAACAGTTTTACTCACTGGTGACTTGTGAGTAGCTGCTGTCTTGAATTCTGAACTCTCCCACTGGAGAGGCATTCCAGTTTAAATACTTTTAAGTGGGGAAATACCCACTTCCCAGTACAACTGGGCTGCAGCAAAAGTAGCTGGTGAAAATGCAGTGAAATGGAGAATTTACAAGGTGAATTTCTCTGACTTCAGGCTACTTTTGAACCCTGTTCAGGTCCATCTAGTGGTCACTGCCATGCATTATGAGAGATGTAGTTTATTGTCAATGCTGRCTGTACAGCAGCATAAGCTTCTGTAAGAACATAACATCATTGAAGCTCCCACATAAACCTTTGTGTTTTCCGTTCTCTCCCCAGGAAAGCAGGAGTGAAGTGTCTTGTTCACTGTAAGATGGGAGTGAGTCGCTCCGCCTCCACAGTGATCGCCTACGCCATGAAGGAGTACGGCTGGGATCTGGACACCGCCTTCGACTACGTGAAAGAGAGACGCACCGTCACCAAACCAAACCCGTCCTTCATGAAACAGCTGGAGGAGTATCAGGGAATCCTGCTGGCAAGGTTTGTTCTCCTGCACAGATGTTTAGTTTATGACAGCGGTGGGCAATCATGGTCCTCGAGGGCCGCAGCCCTGCATGTTTTACATGTTTCCCTGCTCCAACACACCTGATTCAGTC